TTTTCTTTTTTTTTTCTGTAAATGGGCTTCTCAAGCTTTCATTTTGCAARCCACACATCTGGTCATCTTTCTTTTTGTTGTGTCTAAAAGCAGCCATATGTCATCAGCAACCCTCTCATGTATATTGAACTTCCTTAGCACATCAGCTTGTCTCTTTGGATGCGTTACCTGATGTCTTTAAAGTGGCAAAACATAGAGAAGTGGGTCCCCCGAGTCTTTTGTTCATCAGACAAGTAAGAGTCAGGAGTATGGTAGAGACAGGATGTTTAGGCCCTTGCTCTATATCTATTCTAGCTTTACTTTTTAATTTCTCCTTGCCTTAGCACAACTAGCAGAATATGGCTCCAATCAACTGACCATTGGAAAGCAGCAACTTTTTATCCAGCAGTTAAGTATGGCTGTCCTTTATTGGTAGGAAGGGCTAGCAAATGCTGGTGTGTTTCATGTTAGATCTTCCCCAACAACTCTGATTCTCCAGCTCAGCCTGTCTGTCCAGGTGCTTTATTAGGTGCTCACCATTTTTAACRTGAGTGGTCTTCTCTGGAAATTAACAGAGGTATAACAACAGCCTTTCTGCTCAGAATGTAGGCATAAGTGCTTGGGAACCATTACAGCGTGTCTGGCAGCACRTATGTAAATAACAAAGGATAATTCTAAGGATCTAGATCAAGCAGGTGAGCTTTCATTAAAGTTCAAAAAGTATTTGGTTCAGGAGATTCCCTCAGTCTTTTCTAAAACCATGCTCCGCAATCTTGGCTCTGTGGTACTCTATGTGAGTACCATAGTTAAGATATTGAAAAGATTTGAATGTGATGAGATGAGTGATATCTTAGGTTAACTAGGACCATGAGTTAAATGTAGCCCTACCAATGCATAGTCTGTCAGGGGAATGTGCTCATAGCACTTCCTGTTCAGTGTTGAAAATTCTGGAATGCAACTGCTTTCTCTGCTTTCTAAAAGAGTTGCAGCCTCACAGATAATCAGAAGTGCATSCATTTTGGAGCTCAGCCTATTGTGTGAAGCATTGCTTGATCACCCACAGATAGCAGACCAGGTGTCTTGTGGCGCTGCTATTTGACCATCCAGTAGCACTGAAGAGTTCATGAGATACCCACAGTTACCTTGGCAATAAAATGATGAGATATGCTCAGTAGAATGGGAATTTTTAGAGGTGGTGAGATTTGCAAAGCTCTTTCTTTTTTTTGTGAGCGTTAACTCATTTGTTACTGAGATTAACGTTTAAACAGACAATTAAAGAATGCTTTTAATAGGCTGAGAAAAGTTAAAGGATGTCAGTGTATTCTTTAATCCTTCCTTTTGAAACGATCCCTAGCATTTTGTACTCATTAGGCTTTTTAAGGGTGAATAATTTAGATTCCACTTATTAGAAGCTCCCCTGTCTTCCTTCCTCTGAATATAGCTTTCTAAATAAGAAAATCAACTAATCTTATATGAAATTCTACAACCTGTACCTCTGTCTGAGKAAAATTATTCCTTACATATACATAAACTCCCAAGTCCAACTATGCTGGGCATAATTGGCATTTAATTTATTGGAAGAAAATTGACCACATTTACACCAAAAAAACCCCCCACTTTAAATTACACAGGACAATGGCTAAAAAGCCATCATTAAACAGCTTAAAATATTGCCTTCACATTTRGGATGCATTTGGCAGGGTTTGGGTCATGAAATCCCAACCCTTAGATGTTCAGAGAGAAAGGAGCCCTGTGGTACCCTTCTTCAGTTCATACTTGTGCATTCGAGGCTATAATGACACTCGCCTGCAAGAGATTTGCAAAGCAGGTAAAGCTGTTAATTCATCTCGGGTAGTTCCGTGATGATGAAGTGACTTATCATCATTGCAACCATATTACAACGTGTATTCCTACCAGAAAGTTTAACCACCGCAGGGGTGGCTGGACTAACATCTCCTGCCATCCAGCAGTGTATAGACTAAACTATAACTTTTAGTAAGATAATATGGAAACTGACAACAAATTATTACTTGTGGTCTTTTTCCAGTTTTCAAGTGCAAACATACCAAAGTTTATTTTAAATCTGAGCCAGTCAGACATTTAGTAATAGAGATCAAAGCAGAAAAGAAGGCCTCCCATGCTTATTATTTCAATATGATGTCTGTTCTAATAAAGTGTAAGAATGCCTGTGATAGACTAACTAGTAGGAATTTTCTGGTTCTGTAGTTTAGCCTTAAATATATACATGTATTTGTAAATTAATCAGAAACATATTGTCGTGGTTTCAGTTCCTCAGAAAGCTGATTGTTTTCAATCCTTTCTTTAATCTTAGAAATATGGTGGCAGTCTGCCAGCACACTTTCAGATAAACAGTCCACTTCACATTTAAAAGCCGTAGAATCACTGATGTTGAAGGGGGGGAAAAATCAACAGAAAACAACACCAGTTTTCTCTCTCTCTCTTCCCCAAAATGTAGAACGTTATTTAAATAAGTTAGATTTGTTGTGCTATTGYCCCTCAC